TAAATGATCAAAATATACTCGACTATAACCAAATATAACACTTGGCTCCCGCACACCGTTGCACAAATGAAAATTAATTATGCAACATCATAAATTGACAGTAATTACGTGAAACGACGACGACTGCCGTAATGCTGGGCTGTCGTGGCCTTATACCGTTTGCTGTGCTGATGCCCTGTTCATGTATACATTTTCTAGTAGCCTGCTAGTTTGCTTTTAGCTTATACTGGGATTTAAAAGAGGCTTTGCGGGCGCGAAAGTTGTTTTCCTATATCTTTGTACCTGTAGGTTACCTTCTTGTTTCTGCATAAATGGTATGTTCTGTACTTCTTGACAACGTGATAAGAATAATATCTATAGTAACATTATTGAGCTGAAGAGTTTGTTTGGTTGGTTGAACGCGCTTTTTAGTATTGAATAGTCCATTTATGGAGGAAGGTATATAATATCACGCTACGACGCAATAGGAATAAAGCATTCATGAAAAATATTGCAAAAAATATTCCCTTTGATAGACGCAGACAAACTTGCGCGCGTCGGCTAGTCTTATTATAAAAGAGAGCCTTACAGTAGTCACATATTATGTGTAACATAGTCTCACCTGCCATCTGATGGCCAACTCTAGCACTGCGCGCACTCATTACTTTAATCAAAGAGCACGCTTACTCGGCTTTCCATTACACACATTTTTATCCCTTTTCACAAAATCGCTCCCACAGATTAAAGATAGTACACAGCAAATAATAAATGCAACGAGTAATTTCTTTAAACAATTCTCAGATTTTTTAAAATGTAGAACCAATACATTGCCAGTTGTTAGTTATATGTACCTATGTATTTACTAAGATGTATTACTGTGTAGGTACGCATAAAGATGTATAGTAGTTTGGGGCGGCGGAGGCGGGTAGTGTCGCTATAATCAGTTAATTGCATGAATAATTGAACGCAGTCATTAGCCGGCGGGCCGACCGCGCGCCTCCACATCACACCCCAACTAAATATAGGTTAAACTAGAAACTCACTAATACAAGACTGGTTCAACATATACACTGTTACGAAAATTTTCTGCTGAATGAAGGTTTATTTTTTAAGTAAGTAGGATGGCTGATTTGTAATTCACATGACTACTGACTGTATTTAAGGTCTTGCGAAATTCCAATCTTTACCCTTCTTAAAAATTTACTAACAAGAATAAAATATAAAAAAAACCAATGCAGAATCATTAATGCGTCATATATAAAATATTTCTTGTATAAGAATACAGAGTACAATATCTTTTAGTTAACTGATTCCTTAGAATTAAACGTTACGATTTGAACAACTGAAAAAATGTTTTACAAAAAATTCCATAAAACTACAGCATTTCTAGTCGACAAGGTCCCGTTCCAGTCGCCGTTTTTAAATACATACTCACTATTATAACAAAGACTATTCTTAAGTCAGCACAGACAATGCCAGGGCGAAATACAAACTATAAATAACTGGTTAATAATGTTTATGAATATTATATAGCACTCAATTTCAGCAGGCGTGTCTTAATCAAGACATTATAACGTTATTAAGCGTAATATTAATTCTCTTTGTTCATAGCTCTGTATAGCTCTAGTTGAATATTCATATTAGATCTGTAGACATTTTCGAAATGTCCCCGTTTCTCCCTAAAATCAATTAATATAGTCCCGGTTCGTTACTCGTTCCAAACTTGACCCCTGCTTACATAATGGAATTTAAGGCTGCAAGGAGTGTCACCATTGCTTTAAAGTAAAAATATTCTCTTTATGGTTTGGCAGATTCAAAGGTTTTGGCTTAAAATGTATCATATTAAATAAAATTAAATAGTCACGTTTGTATTTGAAAACAAAAACAATTAACTATCATCTTGATTTGTGAGTGTTAACAATAAAAGAAGTTATAAATCAATTGATGAAGATCGAAGATACAAAAAAGGAAATTAGTTTGGTAGTTATATATATAGTATTAAATTTTATTTTTAAAGCAATTTTTTGATATGTCAATTCTGGCACTATGTAATAATTGGTATCTCATGTGTTGATTTTATTAGACCTGCTAGTAAAAGTTTGTGCGTTTGTACGCTGAATATACCACACCGCTTTTCTTTTAATGTTTGTGTTAGGAATATAACAATTTGTAGACTTTTGAAAAAGTTAGAGAAGATTTCTTTTATTCTAGATTCCAAAATAGCAATTGCATCAGTAAATTACCCAGGAATTATTGTGATTTAGAATTGTTAGCTCGGAGTAACGAATACGAATTGGTGGGTGCCCGTAGTATGAAACAAGTAGTAGATCACTAAAAGCATGTTAGTACGGGGACAGGACGACCCATCAATTATTAGCGCCTGTAATGAACGCAAATCCTTTGATTCCATTGAACGAGTGCCAGAGGGAATTCCAGACACAAGTTACAAGCGATGAGCGGAGCGCTGCTTGTATCATTATTAAGTAAAGAACGATTTTAAATGTTAATATTAAGTAAGTGTCCTTTTTCACTCTCGATCGATTCATGTTTGATTATATAAGTTGAGTATCAAATATTATGAATAATAGAGTTCTGAATTTCCGTTTACAATTGACTTTCCAGAAATTTTGCCTGTTATTGAATCTAACCGAGGAGCCGTAAGCCGTAACTTTGATTCTCAGTAAGGATATGTAATAGAGTGATGACTACAATTAATTCCTAAAATATGGGAATAAGAAAAACTAAATATAACATAAAATGCATACAGTAATACAGCATGCATGCAACAAGTTATCATTTTGTTCAAACAGGTCAGCTGCAGATAAGTTACCATCGAATGAGTCACTATGGTTAAACATCTTTATAAATATACTCCCGCTTTCCGCTCTCGCTGCCTCCTATTCCTTATTCCTATTACCGTCGCGGTACATCAAGTATGCACTGAGGGAATGTGAGAGAGGCGCGACACCTCGGCCCAGCGTTCATTTCATTGTTTCTGTCTCTTATACAGAGTGTGAGTAAAATCACATAGGTACTGTATACAGCGAAATGTTTGCCCAAAATATGATTGATACGATTTCTAGTTTCGCAAACAAGTAGCCGCAATAAAAAATGAGTTACTTGCGCAATACGTAATCTATCATCCCCTTATATTATAATTATATGGATCAAGGGGTCTAGTGCCAGTTTATTTTAAATCAACTCGATCGTCGAGGGTAACCGCGTTGGCGTTGCGACTGGTGAAGAGTTCAGTGTCGGCCAATCACAACACCGAACGCTGTAGTAGTCGACGATCTAGTTAATGTAAAATAAACTTGCACTAGACTTCCTGCATTAAATAGGCTTTTTATCAAGGAAAAATCTGATCATTAATGAAACATTACTATAAAGTTTAGGAGCTAGTTCGTGTTGAAAAACTATTGCAAATTTTATACTCAAAACACTTAACAATCGGTTAATATTTATCTAGTACACTAGACAAAGCCATCCACACATACGTGTATATAGAATTCAAAGACCCTTGATCTTATTTTAGGATTATGCTAAGCCCAAAACATCGCGACACTCGAGTTGAACTGTAGTAGACTCGGCGCCGGTCGGCTGCCCACAAACGTTGTTTGTATATCAAAGCCTTCGATCACATCGATGTGCTCACACAAACACATACATTACAGCTAAAGTATATTTCAATAAAACATTTTATTTTATCGCTCGGTCGCTTGCGTTTAGTTATTATAAGACAAATTCAATATTCGGAACAAGTACTTAATAAGTTTTTATATCGTACCCAACTATGCAATAAGCCAGGATTTTTTGTTTTATTTAGCGTTAATGTAGATTTTGTTCACCAATTATCCAAAATCAAGCTAAAATCAACATAAGTGGCAGAACCATCATCATCATCGGCCTTTATTATTCCACTGCTGGACATAGGCCTCTCCTCAGAAAGGAGGTTTTGGCCTACTATCCCACGTTTGCCAGACGGGTTGGTTTCAAGTTTTACTTCTCTTTGCAGTGCTGTTGTCCTGAGTAGTTTGCTCCCTTAGTCGGCTCTTACGACACCCACGGGATGAATAGGGGTGGTGACACTCTGTATTCTTAACCCGTCGCCACACGGAAATGGAAGAACCATACTTCTAAAAAAGGTGTTCAACTATAATATTACCGAAACCCAAATCCCCTATTCCACCTAATTCCGGGGGGACATTTGTGACCCTTAAATTGTAGGACATCCGCCTGCTCGTTTAGCCTCCTATACGACAAACAAACAAAAAACAGGCATTCTTCGTAAACAGTACGTTTTCTGGGTGCAAGGTTTGACAACATGTGTAGGGAGTACTCTCTATTTAACTTGTCGAGTAGTTTATCCGTAAAAGTGTAACATGCAAATAAAAGAACAAATAAACTCATATTATAATATTCTACCACATTCACACAACGCCATCTAGTATAAAACTAAGGAGACCTTGTACTATGGATACTAGGCAACTGATCTAAATACATATATATGTACTTTTTTTGAAAATACATACATATTATACATAGAAACACCCAGATCAAATCAAACATCAAATGTTCATGTTCCCGATCATGTCAAATGTTTGACATGATCGGAAATCGAAACCGCGACCTTTGGAAGAGCAATCTGTTACACAAACCACTACGCTATCTGGTCGTTAATTTATATTACAATAACATTTTTGAACATTTAAAAAAGTATAAAATATTGTTTGGTATAAAAGTGATTTTTGACTTAAGTTTTCATATAATCACGACGTTTGATGAATTATTATGTTTTCTTGATATACCAGTTGGCAAACAAAAAACGGTAACGGTCCTTGATGGTTACTATAAACTGTCTTCCTAATTGTGTGCAGCTTGGGTGTGTACCGTACGATAGGACAGCCAGGAAGACACCTATACTTTTATGTTTTGCAGTCCATGAATTAATAGCCCATAATTATCACTGGACTTGGCAATATATAAATGCAGTCAAAATTATCACATGATCAATTGTTTTTATGTTTTATTTCAACAGTAGTGCATACCGCACCTCTCCTAGTGGTACAGAGCCGCCTCCAGCACCACCACCGCCTCTGTTCCTGCCGCCGCATCTGTCGCATCTCTCACAGCATCTTAGCCATCTCTCGCAGCCGTTTTTCCCCCTTAAAGGAATGCATGGTAAGTTTTAAACTCAAAGTTTCTTTTTTATTATTTAATGCACTGAAATATAGATTTTTATGGTGAAATTTTATTTAACAGGTTGGGGCGCTCCCTGTCCTTGCTGTCCTAAAGAAGAAGCTCGCTCCTCAAGCGTAGCAGAACTTCGCCGTAAAGCGCACGAACATTCCGCCGCCCTTCTGCATTCCCTCGCCAGCTTTCAGTCTCGAGCGCTGCTGCCGCTGCCGCTGCCTCTGCCGCTTCCACCACTTTCGTTAATGCAGCATGAAGCACCACTCCCACCAACATCTACTCATGACCAGCCTAAACACCTAGAATAAATTACATGGTAGGAACCCCATACTTGTTATGAAGGAGTGACTTATACTATGAATTTTTATTAATTTTGGGTCTCTGTTATTCATTACTATAAAAAACGCATTTGGTCATGTTTACATCTGTGCTGAAGACTTGATATGTGGATAATATTATTATGAGGTTGACAAAAGAGGAAATAATGAAAGGCTGTTCAACAAGAACAGTCTATTGTAAATTGATAAAAATGTTTCTATGCTCAGTAAGGAATAAAGATTCGAAATTGCCATTTAAAAAATACAGTAATGATGCATTCATGTTACGTAACTGTCAGATATGAAATATAAATGTATTTTTGATGTATAACATCTTTCCTTGGGTCTTTCTGTAATCTGTAAGAGAGATTTCGTTACATGGGACTTAAATATGTAACACGAAGCTGAGGAAACGTGCGCTATTTGATTTGACCAATGAGTGCGAGCGACGTCTGATGGAAGGTGATATGTCAGATTGATTCCGTCAGTCACAAATAATAACTTCAAAATACCGATTTTCATAATTCCGAATGGTTCAAAATTCCGAATATAACAACTCCGATTTATCAGTAATCCTATTTTTATAATTGAAAAATTTCAATATTCCTAACGTTTATAATTGCTATGTTTATACCGAGTTTCAATAGATCGAATAACAAAAGTCCGACTTAATGATAATTCGAAACATCTAAAAATCACCAGTCACAAACAATGGAGCGGATCTGATCTTTAATGGTCACAGTTCTAACCTAACCCAAATGATTCACCATTAATAGAGATTATCTGGCGTTAATCGCCACTATTCTAACCTTACCCAAAGAATTCAATAACGCAATAACGCAGATGTAAGAAGAATAAAACACACTAACTGTAATAAAGTAGACGTTTTTAAAATACATTAAACGTTTTTATAGATTTTGAATATATGTATATGTGTAACTGAGTATTATAGTAACTGAATCAGAATTAGAATCGTAATTTTAGCAATTAATTCGAAATATTGAAAATCGCAATATCGTTTTTCGGACTAAGAATGGGATCTTGGTCGAGCATTTAATTCTTCTTCTTATAAAAATCGGAAAACTAACAAATCGCATTTACGACTTTCGGTAAAATAAATTGCGTATTTTTTTTATTAAAATTCTAATACATTAAAATTCTTAGGTATTATGAAATTCGGACTTTTGCAAATCGGAACATCGAAATTCGGAATAAAATATATCGGAGTATTTGTTTCCCAGGTTTCCCATGCCAGATGTTACACCTCATATAGCATACTTTAAGACCCGTTCGTTTTTTAAAACAGTCAATCTAACAGATGACATTAATTTATAAAAAAACATACAGATAAATACATACATTCTTGTATATTATAGTTTAACTAAATTTAGTGAATTCACATGTGCCATAAAAAATGATCGATAGCACTTAGTGATGAATATTGTACAGCCTCACTTAGAAGTGTTCGCCAATTAAAAAATAAACGTGTGCCAATGTCATGTGCCATAATAACATTAAATTTATTATTTTTAATTTACATATCTTCTATAAATACAAGTAATATGCCTACGTAGATATATTTGCCGTTATTTATTTGTTATTGTATTATTTTTAGGAGCAAAACTTTTATTTAATTTTAATAAACATCGTTTTAATGTCAAGATCCAGTTTGGGAAACTTATTATCAGTAATCATAAATATATTTGAATTTAAAAACTGGCCAATAATAAATACTTTGACAAATAAAAATCGAGTTCTTCTAAAACTGCCACTTCAACTAGGTCACACTAAGTCTAATACTGAGAGAGCTGGGCGGCAGTGAAAGATCTATGGTTATGCAAGATTAAGCATCACAGAGAATCAAACCCCGTCTCTGTATCTGAAGTCCTACAGGTTAAAATATTATATTAAGTAATTTTTTTTCATTAACATTTTAAATTCTCCTATGGGTTATGCTATTAAAACATATTAATTTGTAAATACATATATACACATCACCATCACAGTATTCGAACAATCTGTTGTGAATATTTTTACTTCATGTATTGTTATATTTAAGGGAATGTAAATAATAATAAATTAGTTATTAAAGGTTCGATGTTTGTACGTTGTCTGTAGAACACAGATTGTATATATTCTAGTGACACGGTTCTAAGTAGCTAGCTATAAGTACACAATATTAAGAAGTATTTGTTAAATTAGTAAGGTATTGTAAGTTAACGCAGAATTAAATGAAAGCTTATGTTTAACTTGTATGTCAATATTGATTTAATATTTCATCACATAATTATGAATGTTTCAATAAATATCATAATCGATATAGGGATATCTTCTAGCATACATATACTAAACTTGCAACTTAAAACAACCTCACATTTAACAAGAAATTTTAAAACTTTCTATGTATCGTATGTCTTAAAATAATAAAAAAAAACGTTCGTGAAGAAACACTGCAAAGAAAATTATAACAGCACAATATACAAGCCATTTATGGTTGAGATGTCATCTTTATGTCCTACTTTCAAATACTTTGAACTAGGTTTGACCATCATCATCAACGGCCTTAAATAGTCCACTGCTGGACATAGGCCTCTCTTTAGACAAAAGGTTTTGGCCTACTATGTCACGCTGGCCAGACGGGTTGCGATAGGGTTTGTTTCAAGTTTTCCTTCTCTTCGCAGTGGTGTTCTCCTGCGTCCTCTTACGACACCCACGGGACGAATAGGGGTGGTGACACCCCGTATTCTTAATCCGTCGCCACACATTTGACCATCAACGACGTAAAATCCTTTGTTTTTGATGCGCGGCATATCCTGTGTTGCTGAAGACGTTACAAACATACATAAAACGGATTCAAACAACACCCAGCTCAGAACAACAATTTGTAAATCACACAAAGTGTTGTCCTATGTCGGGTTTGTTCATAGCTTTTAGTTACCGTTAGAAATCTACAAGAATACATATGTATAATAATAATAAATAATAAATGCACAATTGATGTCTCTCATTTATTATGTAACAGATTATCACTTGGTGTTTCGCCAATACATTTATATTTGAAACATTCCTGCAAATAAGACACTTTCTACTTAAGCTAGACGTAAGAGCTCTTGCCTACTCTGTACATAGACGAGACGGTATACCCACTGCATCATGCACGACACCTGGAATTGCAGGCAAGAGCGCATTGTACATGACATTATATATACTAGAATGTATTATTAGTTGTTTTAATTATGAAATATAATATTACTTAATGAGTACGTTGATTTTATTTACATATCCCCTAAGACCCTATTTTGCCTATTTGACAGTAAATCTTTCAATTATTTTATTATATAGAGCCACCATACCTAGATTTACCGTTTTAGTAAATCTTGTATTCTTTTTATAAGCTACATTATAATTAAAAAAAAACTAGATTCACTATTAAATAGGCAAAATAGTGTCTTTATGCATCGCCTTAAAACAGCTTATTAGCAACAACGCGTCAGTAAACAGCAACCCTAACCTACGTAGGAAAAAATAAAATGATAAATTACAGTGAAGTGATTTTGTCCCATGTCTAGAATGAAAGATCTTTGTATTTTTTCTAAAACAAATATGGCGTATTGAAGTATATTTCATATGGGTGTAACTTTTCTATGATATGTATCTATTTAGAAATGTATAAGTATGTTTATCAGCAGTCTGGTTACCATAAAACAGGCTCTGTCTAGTTTGGAATCAGACGGCTGTGTGTGAGATGTGTAAAGTTATTATTCTTATTATATGTAGAAGTAGTGCACAAAGCTATAAATTTAAATAATGTGTGCTATAGAGTTTAAAATGAAATAAAAACGACTATATAAAACTATAGGGGCCAGTATACGTGTTGACCTGTCGTGGTACAAAATTTTATACAGAGACGGTTCAAGCTATGCTGGTCATTAAAATAAAATAAGACATTCGAAACGGTCAAAATTCGACCGGTGCCAGGCTAGCTCTAGTGTATTGAAATACGCTTTGTACTGGAGTTCAATTGGTTAAACTTTATTGATTACAATTAAAAAATGCCTGCACGGCTAAAAATTGACTGTACGGATGGCTTAGTGGTTTAAGCGGTCGCCACGCCGCTTCCTACTACGCCGAGTGTTGTGGGTTCAAACCCCACATGGGACGACACTTTGTGTGATCCACAAATTGTTGTTCTGAGTCTGGGTGTTCTTTGTGTCCGTTTCATGTATGTTTGTAAAGTCCCCCGCGACACAGGATTTATTCCTAATGCGGGCGTTGTCTTTTTAAAAAAAAAAGAAAAAGAAAAGAATTAAAAAATACAATACCGATAATGAGTTCAGCCATAATCAATTCGATCTTAAATTCCGGTGAACAAAAAATTATGGTTATGAAAGAAAATCGATAACTATTCACAAATATGCTTGAAATGCCATTCTGCATGCACAATTTTGTTACTGGCGTCGGTTCTTATCGGCGTTGTGATTAGTGAAGATTTCAGTGCGGGTCAATAGGAACACAGAGCGCCATGACCTTGACGATCTAGTTGATTTAAAAGAAACTCTGACCCTACGCAGGGTATGGATCTAATCATCTTAGTATAAGAGAGCAGAGAGAGTTAATCATTGTCGTATTTTACACATATGTTTAGGTAGTAGTCGCATATGCTGGTGCGTCGATTGAATCCCGAATCTTCGACATTGATGCAGGTTAACTGTCACGAATATAATCTTCTTCATTTCTAAGATAAGCGATAATTAACACTTGTTATCGCCACACCAAAAACTCATTATTATTTCATTAAAAACAAGAAGAAATTGATGCAAAAAGATAAGGTTCATTATTTACTACAAATGAGACATTATTTTTACTATCGTAACTCTACGTCATTTGACCGTTTGAAAAGAAGCTGCGATAAAAAGGTAATGCGCGTATTATACTTTAGAAAACGTTCACTTGAATGGTGAATGTTTTTAGTCGGTTAATGTTATTCAATA